GTACACATATCATGTGTATAATACGATATATTGTAAGGTCAGTTGGGGTAACTGCGACGTGGCATTGTAAAGTTCATCTTTGGCAACTTATTTTCACTGTAATATTTAATCAAAGAATATAATGATGATTTCAATTTATTCAGAATATTGTAAAGATTATAAATTTGAGGTTAAAATTTAATTTCCAACAGTTTTTATATTTTTTTTAATTTTTTTTTTAAAAATTTTGAAGTGTCGCACTTACCCCAAGCAGTGGGGTAAGTGCGTTTTCGGTGTCTGAAAAATAGTAAAAATGCTTTAATTGTATCATAGGGGAAGTGCATACAATTACATACAATCACCTACAGTTCAGTGTTTTCAGAGTGAAAAAATTCTGAACGGTAAAAAAATGACAGAACATTAAAGATCTTTTTAAATTTGTGTATTAATTAGACTATCATTAATTACATACAAACACTTTCAAGTTATATGGAATTTATTTAAATACTAACATTAAACTTGATTTGTATAAGTAAATAAGCAATACAACAATATATTTGAAGCTTGTAACAGTTGTTCTTTGGTATATGCATCACCCTTTTTGGTTTTTCTAACGTAAGATCTAACCATTTTACCCTAAAAAATATTCAAAATTTAAATTACATTTAATAATAAATGTTTAAATATTACAATGGGTAAGTGCGACATGTCATGTTGCACTTACCCGCAGACAATTGTCGCACTTTCCCCGTCATTCATTTTACAAGGGGAAAGTGCGTAATCGCACTTAAATAAAATTCATTGACAACTATACAAATTTTAACACTTAAATCATAATCTACACATAAAATGATATAACCTACCTTAGTTTAAGACAGCAAATTTTTAAAAAAACTGCCTTAAAAAAAATGGCAAACGAACGTCTTCTTTGAAAAATACAAGTGAAATTTATATTCTGAAAGTAAAGATTGATAACACGATAACGAAATATAATACAGTGTGACCAATTATGTACATATATTACATGGACGTTGTACAACAATTTCATTATTGACAGTCTTTCATAAACTTAATATATACTCCGTAATATCTGGATTCGCACTTACCCCAAATCTGCACTTACCCCAACTGACCTTAATATACATCGACATTTTTTAAGGTTACGCGGGAATGACCTCATTATGTAGGCGGTTCGTTGCGTTGAACAGACGTAATGAGCTTAATAATTTACGTAAAGACACCCGCCGCCGGGGAGTGTATAATACGATATATTGTAATATACATCGACATTTTTTAAGGTTACGCGGGAATGACCTCATTATGTAGGCGGTTCGTTGCGTTGAACAGACGTAATGAGCTTAATAATTTACGTAAAGACACCCGCCGCCGGGGAGTGCCACTCGATTCTGTGGTGGCTGGCCGTAGCGATATTAATAACATAACTACCTACTGCGTAAAATAATAATTGTTTCGATAAAATTATTTTAACTATTTATTTATTTTCCTTCAAAGAGCTGGGTTGACGTACAATGATATAACATAATATTATTATGTTATCGATATTTTCAATTTTTATTCGACATAAACGATCTGCACAATATTTAGCACAATAAGTTTATACGATAGAGTGTAAGAGTAGAAAATTACATGAAAGATATGATTAAGCAGCCACCCATGAGTGACCCTTGGCTATTGATTAAAGTATATTATCGATGTTAAAATACTATTATTTTCTCGTGAGATGATCACTGGAATTCGTATTCATTTCAACTCGATATCCACACTGTATTTTCAACAAAGAGATCCACTGCAGTTTCTCTCCGGACCATCATGATGCGGATGTGTAACAAACAACAATAGCGATCATTTTTCTCCTGTATAACTGTATAAGGCAAACGTCCGGGGTCGCATTAGGTTATTCAAAAGCTGCGACGATAAATTTCGCAAAATTTACATAACCCAGCCTAACGCAAATGATATGCGATTTCAAATAGAAACACTAGCTATCGTAGATAATGCGCGGTATTGATGTATGTATTATAATCCGCACCACCGGAATCGTCTTTCTTGTTCGATAAAAAATATTATGTCACTGTGAGGTCGTGTTAAAAAACGGTATTTCGGTCCGATCGTGTGAAAAAATCCTCGATGTTCTCACGAGTACCAGCTATAGGGTATACTTACAGGTGATAGGTGCACGGTTGCATTTATGATCAGTGTTTTATTTTCCAACACAAGCTATATCCGATTTTTCTTGGACGATTCGTAATTGGAAAGTAAACGTGTTCGACGTGCATATTATTACCATAGAGGTGTGCACCCATGCGAGTGAAGTTCGTTCTCCGAGTAAAACTAAATGTCTGTAGTTCAAAAACAAAACTTTACTATATTGGTGCATTTTTCTTAGGTTCCATATAGGTGTTATACATATTAATTTTAGATATCAGTACCATTAACCATATTTTTTAGATGTGGATATACATAGTATACTATATATAACAGGGGTAGCCAACATGAATAAATACAGTAGTATTATTATATCAAGAGTCAAAATGTTTATAAATACATTTTATAATTTGATCTAAGTAATAAGGTACCTCACAGCCGATAAACATATCAAATTACGTATTAAAATTAATGTATAAATGTATGGCAAAATAAATAAAATTCATAATGATGATGATAAATATATTTTAGTTTTGTTGATAAGACGCGAGGCGCAAGTTGGCCACCCCTGGTATATAGGTGGTATAACATCTATTGTCAGGTTTATGAGCGGTGTAAAATATCGAGATGTGTGAGTTAGATCGGACTGCAGGTATATGTATAGTGAGCTCCATGTTAGGTTTAGATTAGTGATAATATATAGTGTAAACACGAAAGTGACGGTAAATAATTATCATACCCGCAAATACTAATGATAAATGTACATATCATATTGCCCCATTCGGCCGCTAGAAAGAAGTGGTTTACATTCCTAACACCGGACTTCCGGACAGTGGAGACATTGTGGACATTTATAACCATGACGCACCCATGCAATTTATTGAAATAAACACGAATCGAATAAAACTAAAAGCTGACCTGCAAGTGATGATTACACCATTGCTCGTCATCATTTATCCAACCAAACGCCCACCCGAAAAACGTCTCCACCGCGGTTCACGACACGCCTATAGTCGACGTCGGCACATAACTATCTTTAACCACAACACTGCTGCAGCATATTATCCGGATATGCTCATACCGACGTCGACGTGTCCGTGATGTTTATATTATTGTCATCGTCCACGGTGACATGTACACACGTAATAAGTATACGTACCGTGTATTCGCGAAATCGGACTTCCGGGCAGACGCAAACCCGAGGTTCGCGGGGGCGGGGATGAATCGTCGGCGGCGCGGTCCGCGTGCTGCGAGTGAAAGAGGTCTCTCGGATGCTATAGCGTCATAGACATATCTACCTGTATACGCGACACACACAATACTACAATAACATATATTATATTATTATACACACACGCACGCGGGTCTCACCCCGTTCACAATGGACCGGCGACGATCGAAACGTATTATAGTCATATATAAAAGCGCGCATAATATTATGTACAAGTCGTCGCCGAGTCGCGAGTATTTGCTGTGACACGGCGGCGGCGGCATCGTTGTTGTCTAACTGACACTTGAATGGGTTAGGACCTAGAAGTGCGAGTGTATGCGTAAATTTTCGTAAATGTATGTGTGCATGTGTGTGTGTGTGTGTGTGTGTTTGTAGGCGTTTTGCGTTCTATCGCCGACCACCGATACAATCGATTGCGCCTTATTTAGCGCTCAAACCTGCAGCACATTCGTCGTCGTCGCCGCCGCCGCCGCCGTCAGTCGGTCTCATGAGCGCGTCACTTCTTTCGGATGCCGCAGCGATGAGACGCCACTGCCGTATAGTTACTGATTGCTTGAGACGGATGGACGTGGACGCTACGTGTGTACTGTGACGGGGTCATATATATTATAGTATACCTATCTATATGTCATATTGTCATAACGGGAAGGTTCACCATTCATGCCGATCATCTTCCATTTTACCATTTTTTTTCACGCTATTTAATTAGTACACAATTTGGGAGTACACACCAAGTATTCGAAGAGTCATCTTTAAGTATAACAAAAAAATCCTAAAACCAAAATTTGAATGACTTCAGCAATATATTGAAGAATAAAATGGAACGAACATGATGTGCCAAATACTTGAGATGGAAATGTACGCAATATGCTATCAATGAAAGACCGTTTTCTAAAATTTGGATCTTAATAACTTATAATTTAAGGACGTATTTTAGAGTCGTACGCCGTCAATGTATTCTTTAAAATGTTGAATACCGTCGATTTTTACGTTTAATCTGACCCCTAATTAGTAATTATTAATTGAAAAGATGAATTTTGTTCACCGTCGTTGTGTACCTATATATACATTATTTTTTATCGTCATCGGCTGCGTGATGAACTTAACAGTAATAAGATATTAATAAAATACTATTATACGCGGCAATTCAGATTTAAATTTCTGTTCGGAATCAAATTGTATACTCAGTGATGACCTTCCTCGTACTTGAAGTTTTACGGCAGTTATATTTCAACATTACAATCGCACTTTACATGACTAATATTATTTTTTAAATGAAACGTTTTTTTAGAAAATTGAAATGGTAATAATATTCAACAGTGCTCTGAATAAGGACAATTTTTTTGTTTTTATTTTCGAAAACAAATTTGTTTTTATAATTCTTATCAGAACAAAAATCATGTAGCATTATCCGATGGCAGTGACAGATAACGCCTTTTGACGAAAAAATAATAAAACCATATTAGGAGGTACCTATGTAACTTACTAGCCGAACTTTATTACAAATCATATTCAATCTCGTCTATATATAGGTACCAAGATTAACCGGTTTCAGTAGACTTACACTTTCGTTTATGTATAATATTTTTTACACATTATAAGAAAAAATGTTAATTTTTTAAGTTGCTCCGATTATCTTTTGACATATTGAAAAGAAGTCGAGATGTGTCGTAGACGTGTTATAAAAGAAAATCAGTTTATGATAGATCTTAATTTTCGCACCGAACATGCGTCACTCACGCAGTGTGTATGCCGTGTAAAGTACCGGTGATGATAATAATAATATTAATAGTTAAGTGCTCAAACAAACAGGCATATAGAATACGTTATGTGTCCGAGAAACGATCCTGAAAAATAAAAATTATACCGATTTAGGCTTATTTTGCAGTATCTTGGTAGTCCTGTATTGTTCACATTTTCGCTATCATTATTCCATCTCGTCGTGTGATCTAGTCAATCGCGGGTTCGCGCTCAGAAACTTGTAAAATATTATGTCATAGGTATACATATTCTAATAATAACATAATAAATAATATTATTATACTATTGCCGCACTTCTTTGTATATCTTGAGTAATAACATAAATTATTAAAAAAACTCGAAACTCGAAGTAATCGCATAACTCCTCCCAAAGGGTCGTCGGTTGAATGATTGTTTCGTCTGGTCGAGAATTAAAATATCCACACGACCTCGTCGCTTTTTGGAGCCACTCTAACGGTTTAAACGGAAAAAATTCCGTCTCCGATGTGTCTATATTAGTATGATATATATTATTAAAAAACGCGGCCGATCGCCCGCGAAGTTCTTCTTTCTGGGATCTATTCGGTCAGTGTGAACGTGTGGGCATCATCGTCTTAAACGGATATCATCATCATCGTGTGTAAATATAGACGCAAACTGAAGGATTAATTATACTTGTGCCATCGCTTTCGAGTCAATCATAAAATATAATTAATTTGCGAGCATAAACCGCATGGATCGGACCAAATGCGCGTTTAGGAGCATTAAGCCGAATTCGTTTTAGCGCCGCAACACGCGGCTGGTTAGGCGATAAAAATGTTTAAAAATAAACTCCGATCCTAGAACACGCCTCCGTTCAGCGTATAATAATATACCTATGGACTGGAGTTTGAGTTGTAAGACGTACGTATTAATAGTATTAATTAGTCACATGACCAGAGAATACGTCTTTTGTTTTTCAGCAGAGTTGTCGAGCCATACGTACTATTTGAAA